TAGAGCTTTTCTTATCAAGACTGTCTAAAACCTCCATGTTGCTCAATTCAATTGACATTTTTTCCTCTTATCTTGATGCCTGTGGATTTGGTCGACCACTCCCTCCTGCTTGTTCTGCCTGGTGGTTCTTCTTTTCTTCTTTGATGATCTCTTCTCTACCCATCCTCTAAATTGGTATTTCTGTAACTTAGTCCTGGATCCTCTTCTGTTTCTCTCAGTTCTCTTCCTAAGTGATCTTATCCTTTACCATGGTGTTAAATACCATCTTTGTATAGATGATTTCCAAATTTATAGCTCCAGCCCAAACTTTTCCCCTGATTTCCTACGTAGTATGTTCAGCTATGTACTGGACATTTCTATTTACAGGTTTCTTAGACTTAACATGTCCCAGATAAAACTCTTGGAACTCTTCCCAAACACGTTAGACTTTCCTACCATTAAATGGTAATATGCTGCCTTCTTACTCCATCTCAGTCCATCTGCTGTGGCTCTAACTTGGATCTATCCACCTGATCCATTTTCACTCTCACTACAAGAGTTAAGCCACCATCCAATCTCACCTGGACTATTGCTCTAGCCTCCTGACTGCTTTCTCTGCTCCTACTTTTGCCTTCTTCCAAACTGTTCTCCACGTAAGAGTCAGATAAAAATTTTAGAACTGTAGGCCAGACTGTTATTCTCTTGATTAAAATCATTCAATATCTTTCCATTGCCCTTATTAATCAATCAATCAGCCAATCCTAATTCTTTACCATGGTCTGTGGGGCTCTCTGCATGATCTGGTGCTTGCTTTATCTTGCACCTTCTTAAGCCACTTCCTCCTTGTCTCTGGGGCCTTAGGTACCTTTTAGTACCTTGAACATGCCCAGCTCTTTCCAGCTGAAGAATCTCTGTGCAGCTCTTTCTCTGCCTGAAACACCCAGTGCCCTGCTTGTGGAGTGGCTGCTCCATCCCATCCTTTAGGTCAGTATTGTCAGCATTTTTGAGAAGCTGTCTCTGACCACATTGTCTCAGTAGGGCTTTTCCTTCTCTTCCATTTTCTTCTGTCTTTGTTCTTTCTTTCGTTTCATATAACACTAACACAGGCTGTACGCTTTGAGTTTATTATGCTTTCTCCAACTAGACAGGAAGCTCCACAGCAGGATGGATGTTGTATATCCAGCACTTGTTACGGTGCCCAATGTAGTTGCTCAGTTTGTAAGATGGGTAACTAAACTTAAAAGTGAGGCTGATAGGGCTTCCCTGGTGGCGCAGTGGTTGAGAGTCCGCCTGCCGATGCAGGGGACACGGGTTCGTGCCCTGGTCCGGGAAGATCCCACATGCCACGGAGCGGCTGGGCCCGTGAACCATGGCTGCTGAGCCTGCACGTCCGGAGCCTGTGCTCCGCAACGGGAGAGGCCACAACAGTGAGAGGCCCGCGTACCGCAAAAAACAAAACAAAACAAAACAAAAAGAAAAAGAAAAAAGTGAGGCTGATATAGAAAATCTGATTTCTCACTGGAAGATTGGAATCAAACTACCCATCCACTTGCTTCATGCCATTTATACACTGAACCTATAAATAACTTGAATATTAGGCACAGTGTTGTAGGAGGGGTCTTGAGTGGCTGACAGGCATTTAAGAGGCAGCATGAATATTAAAGCCTGTGGTTGGAATGGTCATTACTTTTCTCCTCTGTTTTCCGTATTCACCTAGGCATGGGAAGCACAGCTAAGGGTGATTTTGGTCCGGGTCACCTGGCTTAATTCTGGAAATACTCAAATTTGGTTTCTCTTGCTTAGTGGGAAGTATAGTTAGTCTGTTTGATGAGACAACTATTTGAATTCCTCACACATCTGATTTCCTTAAACCGAGTTGACAACTTCTTTGGAGGGTTTTCATCGTGTTTGGTGCAGCATGGCAGAATGGAAAGGACTTTGAACAAGAATTGGACTTGGGTTTTTATTTTGGTCCTGGTTACTTTGAAAAAAGCAAACCCAAACCACCATCACAACAAAACATCCTGAGCCTCAGTTTCCCCATCTATGAAACAAGAGAATTGGACGAGATGGTTTCTAAGATTCCCACTACCTTTAATCATCATGAAATCTCTGATTCCTGTAAAAAATGCACGGATTCTGATCCTGGAGGTAATCACAAAAACTGCAGCCTTTAAGGAAACCAACCCTTTCTTTCCCCAAAGTCATTTTTTATGGAGAAATAGTAGAGAGGGAATGACAAATTCCTTGAACATTCAGACTCCTTTGAGTTAATCTGAACTCAATTTGACTGTTAATTTGAGTGTCCAAGGAAAAAATATTTTAGAGTTTAATGGTCTGGGGCTTTTAATGACTTGTACTTCACCCTACTAGGAATTTAAAAGGTGAATCAACTGAGAATAATGTGTCCCCTTCTAAGTTGTGGCACCCCAAAAAGAATCTTTTTCACTTTAATGCAAGAATGAGTAACTCACTTGGCCACCCAGAGGACTCCCCCTTGCTGAAAGGCAGGCTTCCTTCCTCCATTTACAAGTATTACAAAGCTGAGTCAGTCAGGAAGATTCTAAGCAAATGGATGATTTTAACATGAATTTTAGTTTTCATTCAGATGGTAGCAGCTTGTATCTCTTTTATTAATTGTTCCTACAATGGTCTAGCCTTTATACCAAATGCTTATCTCACTTATTCCTCAAATATGCTTTGGGTTGGGTGGTAGTTTCCAGGAGAAGAAACTGAGCTACTTAGAGGTTAAGTAACTTGCTAAATTAAGGCCCAGTTAGCAAGTGATTGAATTGGGATTTGAACGAAGTAAATGAGTAATGAATCTTTCTTTGAGCCTACAATGTAGCTGAAAGAATTTTCAGCCTTTTTAAAGGTAGTGAAAAGATAATAGAGAAATTAATGACATTCAAATCACAAACCAAGTTGTGTTCCTTCTGTGTCCTTTTCCTAGAAATCCTGGGTGTTTTCTTTTCATCTAGTCCTATCAATACCCTTTCCTTCTAGGATGCTTCTTTTTAAACAGTCTAGAAGTGAAATCAAACCCTGAGTTAAAATAATGAACAGTCATATTTTACATGATCACATGATAGTATTTCATAAAAGCATGACCTTATTTGTAACTTAGAATCATCCTGACCTGTTGGTTTAAATATTTCAATAATACAGGTTTTCCCCCTCCCCCAATGAGGCCCACTTTTTTCCCCAATCACTTTAATTATGTGAGCTAGAATCCTGTTTCTCACACATCTTTAGTTCTCAACCTTGTTAAAATTAATCATATAATCCCCCTTTAAAACATAGTATTAAATCACCATAGTAACACAGTATCCAAGCTTTATAGATAAAACATAACAGCCGTAAGAAGGTAGTTTGGTGTCCCCTTGACAGCTCTCTAACTTTTATAGAAATATGTTCCTTCTCCTGGCTTGTGTAAGGTGGAGGGATAGCATTACTTACTTACACCTGTTTTATTACCACATTGCTTTTAAATTGCTACCTTGTTTTTGTTCACCTTCCTAGTTAAAAAAGGAGTGTTGGAACATTCTTTTCTTTCTGAATTATTTTCTTGTACTCTCTAACCACTCCTTGAGGGCTGGAATTGTTTCCTTTAATATGACCAGTAGGGTCCATTGACCTTTTGTTCTGGAATACCTTGAAAGTCTCTTTAATTTTCTTATGTGGCCTGTATAAGGGAGTTTTAGGGAAAAAAAGGCTATCCATATTTGAAAACTTAATTCACAGCCTATCAAAAAACTCAATCAGTCTGCCTTTGGAAAAGGCCTGGTGAACCATGATTTTTCATTTCTACTGACAATTTATAACAGATTATAGGTGAGAGCATCAATTTGAATATTTTATCAATTTGAGTATATTTTGTAAAATATGTTCTGTATAAGATACAATACTAGTTAATGAGTTCCTCTGAATAATTCAATGTCACATTCTAAAATATTATGTTAGCATAAATTTGTGTATTAGAATTTGTAATATTTAGCTTCTTTTTAAAAAGGAATCTAAGCTAACTGGTAAACTGATTTTAAAAAGTGGATTTTTTAAACATTTTGTAACTTTGCAAAAGAGTTTCTAGATTAATGTGATTAGTAATATGCTTTTTAATTTTTTGAAGCAGATGTTTTCTATTTTATGTGTGGTTTGCTGATTTTTGTGTTGATGCAGGAATTTTTAGCTTTTATCTTAAATGTTTTTCTTTAAAACCTTGTTTCCATTTCTTAGAAAATACCTTGCATTGATAAGACATTTGCTATTTCTGTCCTGTAAGATATAAAATATATTCCTCATAAATTCGGAAATTATGAGAGATACAGGAATTTAGGAAGATAACAGCTAACCTTGCCCTCTTTTGAATTCCAGGTCCTCCCCTTAGTAGCTCTGTGAACTTGATTCAGTTATTTACCTATTCAGTTCTATAGTTTCCTTTTCTGTAAAATGGGAACATCTTCTAAATTCCGGGGTTGCTGGGAGAGTCAATGAGATGGTATAATATCAAGTGTCTAACTTTGTGGCTGGTACTTCAATTCTGCTGTTGCAATCCCTGTTATTTTCTGAACTAGAGGAATGATCAAGTGAGCATCATTACCAGCGAGCTGGCAGAGAGGGCTTTGGCGTCAGATGGGTCTGGGTTTAAAATTCAGCTTTTTGCAGTTTACCAGCTGGCACCTTAGGCAGTGCCACTGTAGGTTATTTCTTCATCTATAAAATGAGGTTAATAGAATGCACCTTTCAGAACTGGATGCAGTGATCAATAGGGACACCTGCCTGAGCTCAGCAAGTAGGAGGTTTGGTAGCTGTGATGACGTGGTCACTGCTTGCTGTCATTTTTTTGTTTTTAAATACTAGCTCACAGTCTGTTCCCTTGAAGTGTGTAAATTTTAAGTTCATTTATAAAGAATTCCACTGAGAAAGGAAATGTTACAGGTTCAACGACTTGTTGTGATTAGATACTTTATCAGGAAACTTACTGCACATTCATTTTCCCCTTTGTTCTGTCTCTGCCGCAGCCTCTCAGTTAGCCAAGTTGGCCAGAACTTCACGTTTGTGCTCACTGACATTGACAGCAAACAGAGATTCGGGTTCTGCCGCTTATCTTCAGGAGCCAAGAGTTGCTTCTGTATCTTAAGGTAAGGAAAATGGCTTTGGCTATTGGCTAGTTCTGTGAAACAATGTCAGCATTTGCGTTGTTCTTCTGTAATTAAATTTTCCAGCTGTTCTTTTTATTTTCCTATCTGTTTCCCAAAAGTCACTGCACTTGGGGCGAAGGACTTCACAGTGTTGTCCTTGCACTTTAAGTTCTACAGATAATTGTATTTATTTATTTGTATCACATCCCTTGGGTGGGAAAAGGGATCAGTGCTTCTGGGGAGTGTGTAGAAGCTGGAGAATCAGCATGGCTTCAGTTCCTCCTGCTGTTATCTGGAGCTGTCAGAAATTAGCCTGTTAGGCTTTCCCTTGGACATTTTGTGTATGTAAGATTATTAATAAAGTATGTGTCTGTAGCTCAGGACGTCTTGCAGACACTGATTGTGTCCTTCTCAGAGTAACACCCCTGCCCCCTTTGGGTCAATGAGTGAGTAACTGTTTCCCAACTTGGCTCCCTCTGTAGAGGTTTGAAAAAAGTGCAGAATCCTGTAAGAAGGCTTCTTTAGGTCTTCTAAAACCCCCTTCATACACTAGAATCATACTTGCTTACTGCTCCGTTTCCTCCTGCCAGAGACGTAAGGCATGTTCTGGGGTGGGAGGATGTGTGGAAATCTGATTTTGGAGCTGCTGGCTCTGGGCTCCTGCTGGGAGCCTCCTGAGGGGGAAGTAAAGGCATCCCACACACCCTCCTCCCCATCTGCCTCGGTTAAGTAGGTGTCAGAGGGGCCTGCCTCCTGTCTCTCTCTGCTCATGTGCAACAGCTCAGAGCAGGACAGCAGGGAGGCGCCCCTGACAAAACCCGGGTCCCCAGGCTTGGGCCTGGGGATAAGAGGCCAGACCCTCTATGAATTCCAGAAAGGGTAGTTCTCTGGTGTACTAGTCTCTGCACTTTCTTCTCCTCCTCACTAGGAAGAGACCCCCCCTGCCCCCCAAACACACACACCCTCACACCATGAGGGGGTGAGGGCTGACTTTCGAAGTGCCTGAGCTCGATAACTGTCAGTCGGGACTGCTACTTCTGCGTTTCTCTACACAAATCTTACTATCATTATTATTTTTAATCAGTGAAATCAACTTTCTTCTTCATCAAGCATAGCATCTAATTTGGGCCCTAGAGAACAACTGCTGGAAAGACCTTAAGAAGAAGGGACAAAGCCGGCTGCTTGTGAGGCTGCTGTGCTCACGCACACCTCAGTAGTCTAGGCCCAAGGATTGCCTGCCCAGGGTATTAGACTCTGATGTAAATTACTACTTACTTTTTATTTAACAGTGTTTTCTTCAAGAAAATTTTCTCTTCCATTTTTGTCTAATGGTATATTTCAGCCTCGGCGAGGACACTGCATATTTATGTAGTCATTCAGAGGAGGTGAGGGTTTAAACCACGTTCTTGAAGTTTTGCAGAAAGGTTTTTGTCCCATGGTGTTTTGGGTTATGATGATTCTTTCAAAGCTTGGATGTGTGTGTTGGGGGAAAGGGGACTCTTGAATTGCCATTATTGCATTCTCTCAGCAAATTTCAGAGAGTGGAAATCTGTTTATTTAAAAATTTAAGTTTAAAGATTGCTCGCATCCGATTCTGGCGTTTGACTCTGTGTGTCTACATGTAGGGCCATGGACTTCATGTTTGCGAGAAGCTAGTTGAATAGCCTCTTGCTGTCATCATTTAGAATGAAAAATAACAGCAATTTGTGTGTTTTCTGTCTGTTATACCAGCTTGGAACTATGGAAAAACACTTGGTGGGTTAGTTCGTTCATTTGTTCGTCAGCCCTTAATTGAATGCCTACTATTAGCTAGTCCCTGTCCTTGAAGAGTTCCCAAGACAGCTGGCGAGACCGCTGATTATGCTGTACTGTGCTACCTATAACACACAGAGCGACCCCATGGCATGATGCCTTCTTACTGTTGGTAACCTAGTGCCAGAGGACAGTGGCTGTAGTTAAAAATAGTCTTCTGTGAGTTCTGGGGCATGCATTTCATGGGTATTTAGCATGAGGGCGGAAGGCTCTCTTTATCTTATCCACCTTTTGCTTATATACAGGGCACACAAAATGGCACTTCCCCTGTGCTTGGTTTGGAAACATTGCTGGGCCGAGACTAGCATATGAGTGGAACGGTTTCTGTTAACCCTGGATGACTGGTTGGTGACATGTCCAGTGGAGAGTGGAGAAGTCTGCCAAGAGAACATGGGTGGGATTTGGGTCTGGGTTACATTATAAGTATCATCCTCTTTTGCTGTTTGGTCTCCTTCCTTTAGTTAACCTGTGTCTTGAGGTCCAGTCATCTTTCTCAGTGTGCCTAGTACTATAGCTCAAGTCTGCTCGGAAGCCACCTTTACTTTTGTTTTCCATTTTTTTCCCATGAGGGATGTAGTTCCTAGTGATGGCATCCATGCAGACATAGCCTCCACTGTTCTAGGATTTAGCTTCTTAGGGTCACTTTCTCTCTGGCTGCTGTCCCAAGCTCATATGCTTCCTGGCCCATATGAACGACTGGACCTTTCTGCCTTCACACATTTACCCATCCTCCCAGACTCAGCTTGGGCACTTCTCAGAGTAGCCTTCTCCAGGCAGAGGTAATCATCCCATCCTCTAGAGGCACCCAGCATGCTTTGCACACTTCAGTTACACACTCATAAGCCTTGATCTTCCTTTGTCTTTCTCCTATTTGAACAGTTAACTCTTTAGGGGTAAAGATTGTGTCTTAAACAACTCTGTATCCTCAGCATTTAGTGTAGTGCTCGACCAAGATATTGTGTGCATGGCCTTCAGAGACAGGGAGATCCGTTCCATTCGGTTGGAAGAACAGGAAACGGATACTGAGGGCTCTGAGTGAGAGGACAGGCCACATTGGACACTAGTTCAAAGAGAAAATATGAAATCCAGTTATTGGTTCATATTACCAAACAATTCATGTTAGTCATAAGAGGTGCACCTTTGAGTGTCACAGTGGAGATTCAGTGACACAGTGGACAGACATTATGTCCATAAAGGACTAGGTCATCAGTATTTACAAAATTTGAACTTAATTTCACAATGAAAGGTTCTTAGACATCCTTTATTCAATATAACTTATTAGGTTCATTGTGAGGGGCATTGTCCTTCCCCCCTAGAATGTAAGCTCCATGAAGGCTTGGAATTCTTACCTTTGTTTGTTTTGTTCACAAATACACCCAAAGTGTATTTATTTAAGAATGTCTGCACATAGTAGACACTTAGTAATACTTGTTTTATGAAAGATTGAATCTCTGAGTTTTTTTGGTTTTTGTTTTCTTTTTTTGCTGTACGCGGGCCTCTCACTGTTGTGGCCTCTCCTGTTGTGGAGCACAGGCTCCGGACGCACAGGCTCAGTGGCCATGGCTCACGGGCCCAGCCGCTCTGCGGCATGTGGGATCCTCCCAGACCGGGGCACAAACCCACGTCCCCTAGCGTTGGCAGGCGGACTCTCAACCACTGCACCACCAGGGAAGCCCTCTGAGTTTATTTTTTAACATTGTTTCAAAGTTGGTTTGAACTCTTGTCACCAGCCAACCTTGACAGAGATGTAGTTGTACTGAAGTATAAGTCTTGTTAATGAAAGTACCGTGGTATATAAAGTCAAATGCACTATTTCTTCCCACAATTGACTGGTTCTCTCTATTAAAGCATTTTAATTTACCTTGAGAGTCACCATTATATTATTTAACTAGCTGCTAGTTAAATAATCTAGTTAATACTAGATTAAAAGCACCAGCTAGGAGAACAGGAGTTACGGGTAAGTTAGTTGTTCTTCATTATAAACCCAGGAATCTGAGAAAGTATTTTAGCATTTTTAGATAGCACCATCTGAGTCTAAGATATAATAAGTATTTACCTCTGAAATCTTTCAAATATTGTAAGACAGAGTGACCTAGATCACTTTTTTCGTGGCTTCTATTGCCCAAATAACACATGCCCCATCAAGGCTTAAGCTGTAATGAAATATGCTATTTATAGCCAACTTCTGGTTTGGATGAACAGAAGGAACGCCAGAGTTCAAACCCATAACTGTATTGCTTGGGGTTGGGGGGAGTAGATTATGGAAGATAAGCCATACAATATTAAATTTCTTTACTCTTTATAAAGGAACTTTAAAAATATTTGTGTTCTACAATTTTCCCCTGTATATATAGGGATCTTATTTCAGCTCTTGAGAAAGCTTGAGTAACTATCTTTATACCCAAATAGGATTGTTCAGAACCTATTATACATTTCGGGAAGAAATAACTTGTTTCATCAAGATGGTATCTAAAATTTTTTTAGTTTAACATTTAAAGTTTTTATTCAATTAGTATCTTTGTATCTAGTATATACCAGGAATGAGCAATGTATAACACGTGGTCTTTGGCCTTTATTTACCTCGGGGTCCCATAAAATAGACACAGAGATCTAGCCCCAGCTCTCCATATGAGAACCTTTCAGATGTCATATTCATCCAAGATTTTGGTGAGCTGAATTTTCTGAACTTGGTATTACAAACTGAAAACAATGTATACTTTTTGTCCTTTACCAAATATAAAATTGAATATATTTCTGGGTGCACTGTTCCCAGGCCACCTCTGATTTTGATACCCACCTCCCATTTCACTTCTACTACCCTTACTGTCTTAGGAGCCACTTAATCTTTGGGAAGGGACTCTGTAAACAAGTAATTAAAATATAATGTGATAAGTGCTATTTTAAAAAATATGTATGCGTAGGGTTCTTTGGGGTCACAGATTAGGCAGTGCCCATGTCTGACTTGGAGAATTAGAGAAAGTGTTGCTGATGGGTTCCAGTTAAACTGGGTCCTAGAGAATCAGTGGGGGCTGGCCTAGAGGAGAAAGGGAGAAAAGCTCTCTGGGCAGTGAGAACTGGTACACAAAGGCTCGGAGAAATGAAAGGTATAGCAAGACGAAAGAATGATGAGAATTCTGGTGAGAGGGTGATAGCAAGAGATGATGCCGTAAAAGTCTTGGGGCCAGTCT